TATTACCATGTTTCGGGCCCCGGCGAAGTCGATCAGCCTCGGACGTTTCGTCGTGGAGGCTGAATTTTCCGACAGTGGCGCCAAAGATCCCTTCCTTGCCCACCTTGGCATTAAAATCGCCAAGCACGATTTTGACATCGTGTCTGGGGCAGCGCTCTTATGTACGTTCCAAGCGCTCATAGAAGAGATCCTTGGACGCCTCATCCTTCTCTTCCATCGGGGAATGGGCGCAGATGAGCGAGATGTTGAAGAATCTAGCTTTTATGCGGATTGTGGCTAGACGTTCGTCCACCGTGGTGAAAGCCAGTACTCGGTGACGGAGTCTCTCTCTAGTAGACGTCGCAAGGCTTCACGCTTACTTTTCCTTGGCCCGTCCATCGCATTTCTTGGATGGCGGTGATGTCGGAATTTGTCTTCCCCGAGGACATCAACCAGCCGGGCAGAGGCACTTTCCCCATTAACTGTCCGGACATTCCAGGTGCATACCTTTAATCATAGTCCTTTATACGTTTGCCGTGGTCGTCATCAGACAGAAAAAGGGGGTCTCATCCGAGGCTGTTTTTTTTCTTTTCATTGGGTGGGGTTTTAACATGGCCGGACCCAAACCCAGCGCACGCGAAGTTTTACGCCTTCTCACCTTAGCTCGCTCCCAAACGGGTGTTTGGTTTCTACTCAGAGGATACGTGGATATAAATATCCGGACGCTGTGAGCTGCGATTTGAACCGTACGCACAAGAATCGCTTCTGGCCACTCCCAGGTGAATGGAAGTCAAAAGTTTTCCACTTCTGCACACGGAACCATCCTCCATTGTAACTATTTATATAAAATATATGCTGATAGCGTGTTTTGCAGAATAACGAAAATGTCAGTTCCTTAGATGTAAATGTTATGTTAAACTAAGTTTTAATCATTGCTCTGCAAACTCGTCAGTTCCTTAGATGTCAACATGGGCGTCGCCAGGATCGAATTTAGGGGGAGGTGGGGCCCGACATATAAAAAATCCCAAAATTTTCATCTTTACACATTCATGGTTCTGGCATGCGGGGGACGATATGTACTTGCCGATTTGTTTTACAAAAATTATTTAAAAAGCAGACGTCTCGGTTGCTCAGCAAACCGGTTAACCGTTTCTGCAATTATTTCACATTGATTCTCTAAAACAAATTTTCGATGTATTCTTAAAATGCATAAACCTAAAGGTAAATTTTATAGGAAATTAAAGTAACAATTTATTAAAACTCGTAGCAACCCCCGAGATACGGGTGAGTACTTAGCTCAAAATTTTTTTAAAGAACTTCGTGAAAGACAACAATTAGTCTTGTATTGCTAGTGTTGTTCCGATACGAGTAACTACAAGTAATTACTCGATACTTTCTTCAAGTACTGAGTACTTTTTGTACTCGAATCCTTTCCGGAAGTACTTAGGTGGGTATCGAGTACGTGATTAAAGTATTAATTGCTTTTCCAAAAATTCTGAGTTTCGGTTCTGATAATACATGAATCATGCTGTTGTGGTTTTTGCACCACGTTAAGTTGGCTAATAAAAATAGTGTCAATTCCTGCTTTCCCGTACTAGTAAATCATTAAAATTTTGCAAGATACAAACTTGTGGCTACTTTTTCGGTAAGTTTTGGTCGGAGAGTACTCGAACCGATTCTTTTTTTCTTCACAAGACATAAATATTTACAATGAGCTAGATATGAGTAAGTATAGAGTACTTCTCTCCGATACATTTGTGGCATCGATACTTTTTTCAATATTTTTAAAGAGTACAGGTATCGAGTACAAGGTCGTATCGGTACAACACTAGCAATACTATTGCTAGACACCTCTTAACCCACGATAATTTTTAAGTACTTAAAAGACATTACTCTACTCTAAGCTTCGTGCAGTGGGCCATGAGAAAACCGTCATCTTTAAGGTATAGTCCCACCTTTCAAAATATCTGGTATTAGTCTTAATCTGAAACGCAATAATCATTAAAAATTTGCGCCGTTTATGGCGAAAAGCGTTTAATATCACACTTTCAAACGAAAGCTTTCTTAGCCCTAGAAGCCTAATATATTTGGGAGTAACGTAAGACCTTAACATACGCCTTAGAGGCTTATGTACTTAAAAGATAACCTGTGAGCTAAAATATACTTAGTCCTGACTTACCTTCTAAAGAATATTGAAGTTGTGAGTTTGACTAATAATAAAACATAGTTTTATTAATAAAAACTATAGCCACATTTATTTAAAACCACAAAATAAAATGTAAATTTTGTGTTAAAATTAAAAAAAGACCCATTCCGTATACGCCTCGCAGACGTAGATTATACTTTTGGGGTTAACCCTATCAGTACAAAAATTAAACCACTGGTACTAAAAAATTTTAAATATGTACACCGGCTAATTTTGGATCGTTCATTTTAAAAATCACATACAAAAATATGTAAAGCTTTGAGGTTTGCGGCCATTCAGGGTCCTTTTTAATGGTCAGTGATATCCTAGGTGTTTAAAAAAGAAAGGGATCTCAGCTATTTTTATTTTTTGCTTTCATGAAATATATTTCAGAACTATGAATAATACCTAATAACTTTTCCGAATCTCAATTCCACGGAAATATGGTTAATATTTTTCAATAGATAATATTACTCACTATCGACTTTTCTGCCGCTTTTTACTTTTTTGACAAACACGGTCAACTGCAACTGCAGCTTGCACTTTAGTTTGATATATATGTAGCTCAATTCTGTGGCTGCTACAGATCGGCTTAACTAAGTCGTATGACTAAGCGATTATATATATGTAGATACTAAAGGCCTGAACTACAAAACATGTAACACATCATGCAAGTGCCAGTTTATATCATGTCGCTTATACATGTTTGAAAGTGATATATGAAGACACTGCCGAATAAATTCAAATCAAATCATGCATCAAATTTATACATGTCAACAAAAGGAACACATGCGACATATTCAGCATTATTATTTACATACATTGTATATACTACTATACTTACTATATTTTACTATAGTAAAATTTATTAAACAATTATCTAATTAAAAATCTATATACATTTTCATGCAAGGCAGGATTAAACAGTATTAAAAATATGCTGCAGAAACACAACAGTTAAAAAAATGTTTAAATTTTTATTTTGTTACCTACTTCACAGATTTGAAATCTGAAAACTATATTATTGATGAGCATGAAATCGTATTATAACTTTGGTCCGATATTTGAAAGTACCAGAATAAGAAGAGATAGACTCATGAAAATGTGTACTTATGTATGTAACCAGAACATCGAGCTGAGCCGACTTAGGCATATGGCAACCGAACTTCAGTTGGGTGGCCACCAGGGATCATTCGGAGTACAGATTTGCCGAAGTCAATATCAGTATGAGCTGTTATAAGCATCGTTCACTTGTGGTGGCTGTATTTGCAAGACAGCACGCTTTGCGGGTGAAGGGCCGATCGGATTTTACCGGTACCATATACATACATACATACATACATAGGCACATGTAACTTACCTGCCACAAAAAAATGTTAAAAAAACAATTTTCCAGCAAAATTGTGTAGATAGAGGATTTTGCTCTTATAACAAAATATTATTGCAGATAGTGGAATTTTCAAAATGAGAATATAATACCATTAAAGCTATATTTTAAGTTTGAGATTATTGTCATGGCTGAAAGATTAATCGGAGCTCACGTTACCATCAAAAACTCATTTTGATCAAAATTGCAGATAGAGGGTATTGAATATAAGGCCTCGATATATTTTTCTCGTAAATGCTTGAAAGGGGTGCTGGCACATACAATTTTCAAAGCCTATTTTGAAAATTCAATTAAAAATAACGGCTAATGACCAAACGATGAAAATAAGTGTCCAATCCTGACCTATCGATTACATACATTTATTTTTCGTAAATGCTTGGATGGGGTGGTACCCAGATGGAGGCGATTTAATGCAATCGATGCATGAGTCACAAACAAATTTAAGGTTCGCAACCCTCAACAGTGCATCTGTCTCGTACTTCGAAAAGCCAATACACTTTGCGTGGAAAACACCTCCACAAAAACCACCACAAGAGGCAGCACATTTCCCACGCTTCAAATTCATATTAGAAATATTTCAGCCGTGGCGGCATCACTTTCAAAGATATAAGCGTCCTTTTCGCGTTTTATAGTCCACAAAATAACAAGCAAAAACACAATCTTTAAGAGCGCATTCAAAACACGTCTTCTCGCGAAGGCGTCAAACAAGAAATATATTTTTTTTATTTTTTATGTATATATTTTTTCACCCAACTTTAAATGTTCGAGTATATAAATATGTCTATTCGTTGTCAATTTTATATGCAGAAGAAGGTCTTGGTCGCAGTCATGGTCACGGCCATAATTGTAGGTAAAAGTATTCCCTCTTTTCCAAATGTTCGAAGGATAAAGAAGTTTCCATGAAAATAAGGAACATGAAAAAGATTTTATTTGGTCTTGAGATTACCTTCAAGGTCATAGTCAAGACCATATTTGGACGCACGAAATCCTTAAACCCTTGCCCTCGTCCTTTGTTCTCAGATGAGTACTTTCTGAGATAGAGGGCGATCGGATACATTTTGAACACCCAGTATGTAAAGATCTATTGGAAAAATTTATTAGCGACGTAAATTATAATTCAACCAGTTGTAATGTTTTCTCAGAATTGGAATATTAATTTCAGAAATACGATCTTGATTCTTACAGTGAAAATTAGAGGGATATTATCTATAAGTATAGTTTTTGACCTATCAAGGAAGTAAGTTCTGTTTTTTTATCAAGGAAGTCGGTTTAGAAGACATTCAGATAACTGCAAATTGGGTTTTTTTTCGCCTTCCACTATGTTTGTCTTTCTTCGTCTTAGTTTGATGCGTCCGTTATCGTCGTCAAAATACTTACGCCTTTTTCTTCGTATGTACCGACGTTATTTAGTTGCTTTAGATGATACCTAATGTGTTTTCTATATATTAGTCAATGATGGCGACTACATCCAGGCCGTGTTGGATCGTAACCTGGCTGAGAATATTTCCCGTGTTCTTTACCCCAACGACAACTTCTTTGAGGGAAAAGAGTTGCGTCTAAAGCAGGAATATTTCATGGTTGCTGCCACTTTACATGATATTGTACGTCGCTACAAAGCTTCCAAATTCGGCTCACGGGAGACTGTGCGAACTCACTTTGATCACTTCCCGGATAAAGTCGCAATCCAACTGAATGACACTCACCCATCGTTGGCTATTCCCGAATTGATGCGAATTCTCATCGATGAGGAACACCTGGATTGGGATAAGGCTTGGGATATAACCGTACGTACCTGCGCCTACACTAACCACACCGTCTTGCCAGAGGCCTTGGAACGTTGGCCTGTTTCAATGCTAGAGTCCATTTTGCCAAGACATCTGCAAATAATTTACCACATAAACTTCTTATTCATGGAGAGAGTGGCGAAGAAATATCCTGGCGACTTTGATCGCATGCGTCGTATGTCTTTGGTAGAAGAAGATGGAGAGAAACGCATCAATATGGCACATGTGTCCATTGTGGGCTCACACGCTGTAAATGGTGTGGCTGCCATTCATTCAGAGATTTTGAAGAAGGATCTCTTTCGCGATTTCTATGAATTAGATCCGCATAAGTTCCAAAACAAGACCAATGGTATTACTCCACGTCGCTGGTTATTACTATGCAATCCCGGTTTGTCCGATTTGATCGCGGAGAAGATTGGAGATGAATGGCCAGTGCATTTGGATCAGCTAGTTGCCCTAAAGAAATGGGCCAAAGATCCTAACTTCCAGCGAAATGTAGCGCGCGTGAAGCAAGAGAACAAATTGAAACTGACTCAAATATTAGAAAAAGACTATGGTATTAAAGTTAATCCTGCCTCCATGTTTGATATTCAGGTTAAGCGTATCCATGAATATAAACGCCAATTATTAAACTGTCTGCACATTATTACTCTGTACAACCGCATCAAGAAGGACCCCACCGCTAACTTTACTCCGCGTACAATTATGATTGGTGGCAAGGCCGCTCCTGGTTACTATGTAGCAAAGCAGATCATCAAGCTTATCTGTGCAGTGGCCAATGTTGTCAACAACGATCCCATTGTTGGTGACAAGCTAAAAGTAATCTTTTTGGAGAACTACCGCGTTACTTTGGCCGAAAAGATCATGCCTGCCGCCGATCTTTCCGAGCAAATCTCTACTGCCGGCACTGAGGCTTCTGGTACCGGTAACATGAAATTTATGTTGAACGGTGCACTAACAATTGGTACTTTGGACGGTGCCAACGTCGAGATGGCTGAGGAAATGGGCAACGAAAATATTTTCATTTTTGGCATGACAGTGGAGGAAGTTGAAGCTCTTAAGAAACGTGGATACACTGCGTACGATTACTACAACAGAAATCCTGAGATCAGACAGTGTATCGACCAAATACAAGGTGGATTCTTCAGTCCAAGCAATCCTAACGAATTCAAGAATATCGGAGATATATTACTAAAATACGACCACTACTATTTGTTGGCCGATTATGAGGCCTACATCAAGGCACAAGAATTAGTGTCGAAGACCTACCAGGTAAGAGCAGTTTACCGAATTTATTTATTAATTGCACGGACATACAAAAAAAGTTGTTTGTACTTTCGATGAGAGATAAGAGGGCCTCATCAAAAATATAGACACATTTTTTTTATGCCGGTTTTGTAAATTTATTTATGAGAAGACAAGTGAATAAATCAAATATTTTATTTTCTTATATTTAATCTTTTCGTTAACGATCGGTTTTATGCTTTTTTTAGAATCAAGCTAAATGGTTGGAAATGTCCATCCATAACATCGCTTCCAGCGGTAAATTCTCTTCAGATCGCACCATCGCCGAGTATGCTAGAGATATTTGGGGTGTGGAACCCACCTGGGAAAAACTGCCTGCACCTGAGGATACACCAGCAGCAAAATAAATAAATACTGTTATAACTGAAATACCTCATTCTCTTTGAGATTGAACTTCATTTTTTTATTAAAGCCCATTTACGGAATTTTTATTTAATTCAAAAGCTAAAAGGCTCTCTTATTATACCCGTATAAATATGACATTTTGTGATGAGCTAGTAGCGATTCTACGATCTGGAAATTAACACGAAAAGGCCAAAGAACAGAAAATAGATGAATTAAGAAATACAAAAATGTCCAATAAAGAAACTATTTACTACAATAAAAAAAACTGCAATCGCAATAAAAGCCTACCGTAAAAGCTCAGGAAATACATATGTAGTTACATATTTAGAGTCTTGAGCGTCGTAATGTCTTTTTTCCACTTATAATGTTTTTATAGGATTGGTAACTAAACAGAAATGACAGAAAGTATACTAATATTAATATTAATTTTAGTCGCTATTTTCCATAAAACAATTTTACGACTTTAAGACTTTACGACGCATAATACCTCTTGTAACTCCCCTAAATGTTTCAATGCGTCACAACAACATACTAATGAACAACGTTTAAATTTAAAAAAACACATTTTACGATTCAAATATCCTAATTATATGTATGCATGTTGATGTTTTTATTAACTATTTTTAAAAATTAAACTTATTAACAAATTGCCGAACAAAATACATTAAATTTACAACTCAAAAATCGCGGTCGACATACATTTACATATGTGAATAAAGAATTGTAAACTATTTACTGTAAAAATGCTTAGAGATCGTTAATAAATTGTATCCTAAAAAAAAAGTTCTGTTATTTTCGGAAATACAATTCTGTACAAAAAATGCGGGATATCTTCGGAGTTCTGTGAAGTTAGCCCCCCCACTTTTACAAATAAATGCTTTAACCAGTGCACCTTGTAGGACTTTGTTTGTAGTTGTTTGTAGTGGATTTAAATTTGTTTGTAGTTCAACAGATAACAAAATACGATAGGCTGAAAAAATCGTCCCCACCCCACCTTCATCTACCATCAATTTGACTAGTATACCTTGTAGGAAATCGTTTGTAGTTGTTTGTAGTGGTTTTGATTTTTTTTCTGTAGCTTAACAGATAACGAAATACGGTCGGTTGAAAAAATCGCCCCCACACCACTTTCAACTACAATCAATTTGACTAGTGTACCTTGTAGGAAATCGTTTGTAGTTGTTTGTAGTGATTTTGATTTTTTTCTGTAGCTTAACGGATAACGAAATACGATCGGTTGAAAAAATCGCCCCCACCTAGGGTGGCCAGATATTATAGGGGCATAATCAGTACAGTTGGGATCAAAAATCAGTACAAAGCAATAAAAATCAGCTCATTTTTAAGCGTAGTTTTTATTGTTAACAATATAACAACCAAATAACAGCGCATTAATTAAAAAAAAATAACTAATAAACTTTTAAAAACGTATAGTATTATCAATACAAAAATTCATTACTTTAAAGCAAATCAATGGTATTACGTATGTATGTACAGCTGTGCGCAGGAAAATAGTAGTTAAATGTATTGACAGGTTTTGAAAATTTTTTCTTTCCTTACTTAACTAAATTTTTTTTATAAAAATATAGTTAATTCTATAACAAAAGACATGTGAGTTGAAGTCTCAAACTTTCTAGAAAATTTATAAGAATTGAGAAAATAAAAAAAAATTTGTAGCCCATTCAGTTTCAGTAGAAGACGAGCTCGAGTCAGAATCTCTTTGCATATTTTAAGCTACAAATTTAAAACATATGTAGTTAGTGTGCTTATTAAATACAACATTCTCATGTTGACTAAAAGGTATATTACCGAATTATCGCTAAACGAATTTTCGAGTGTGAATGAAATTTAATAGTGTTATGTGTATGTGCAAGTAAAATTACAGGTGGTCGAACATCAAAAATCAAAGTAAAGCTACATATATCATATCCAAGAGTCGGTAGTTTGCACCTTTTCCAAATTTTTAGAACTTACATTGCACCGTAGCAGTAGTCGTCTTAAGTTTGAAATACTGGCAGCCGATTTCTCAGTGGATGTTTAATTATAATCGAAAGATTATCTCTTACTGTCATCTTCTCTGTGTACTTAATATATGATTAACTCACCACCACCTTTCATAAGATTTATTAATGGCGAAACCAGCATTTCCTGTAAAACCTGCAAACACCTTTTTAATAATGGTTTAAATTTAATTAATGCTTTCAATCTGCTCACACGTATGAGTTGTCAAAAACTACTGGTTTCAACATGTAAACCTCAAGTAAATGTCAATTACACCAATTTACAAAAGTATTAAATGTAAAAATCAGTACAAAATCAGTACAAACTCAAAAAATCAGTAGATTTTGCGTACTGATTTCGGGCTCTTAAAAATCAGTACAATAGAAAAAAATCAGCACACGTACTGATTTAGGGCCGGTTGTTCAATGTCTGATTAGCACAAATCGGAGGTAGAAGCTCCGGTTAGATACAACGACTGCTTTATCGATCACATGTTATATGCATGATGTCGAAATCGTCGATAATGATGTTTAACCGGCAAGTAGTGATAACCAGACATTGAACAACCGGCCCTAAATCAGCGCATCTGGCCACCCTACCCCCACCCCACTTCCACCTACTATCAATTTGACTAGTGTACCTTGTAGGAAATCGTTTGTAGTTGGTTGTAGTGGTTTTGATTTTTTCTGTAGCTTAAAACATAACGAAATACGATCGGTTGAAAAAATCGCCCCCACCCCACTTTCACCTACAATCAATTTGACTAGTATACCTTGTAGGAAATTGTTTGTAGTTGTTTGTAGTGGTTTTGATTTTTTCTTTTTTATTTCGATTGTAGTTGAACAGATACCGAAACAAAGACAGTTTGAAAAAATACTTTTTTCTTAAAATTCGGGTGCTAGCAAATTGATATTTTATTATGATTAGAAATGGTCTGTAGATGTTTGTAGTGCTTTTTATTTCGTTTGTAGTTCAACGGATACCGAAATAAAGACAGTTAAAAAAAAAATACTTACTGGCGAAGCATGCAATAAAATATACATAGGCACAACGAAGCGCGTTCTCGGTAATAGAATAAGCGAACATAAAACCGACGCAAGAAATAAGAAGACAACGACTGCATTAGAGGGCTAACTAAAATAGGTTCATTCCTTATCTTTTTGGACTAAAATCTGAAAAGTGTCAAAATGCCAGAGCGTAAGCAAAATGCGCTCACTAAAAGAGTATAACAGGAAAAGTAAAGGAACGCAAAAACCCAATTTTTTAGTCCAAAGAATGGCAACAACAAAACTAACGTCAAATAAGAATGGAAATGTATGTACAAAAGACATTAACACAAGCACAAGCACAATAAACACTTTCTATATCATTTATTTTTTGCCTCCTTCCAATTTCAATTCACTTTTTTTACTTTTTAGATTATTCTCACTTTTTGCGTATTCTTTAATTCCGTTAATTTAAATTCAGTTGAGTTTGACACTTTTCAGGATTTTGCCAGAAAAAATTCTTCTGACTAAATCTGACTACTTCGGACTGATGAGAGTCACTCTCACTGAGTGTTGCTCTCTCCTTTTTGGCTGTCATTTCCGAGTTAAGGAACGCTTTTTGGACTAAATCTGACTACTTCGGACTTTTTCTGACTATTTCTGGGAGATAAGGAACGCTCCTAATATGAATAAGCTGCCGTAACTGACTGCCAGAAAATGAACGAAAAGTCTGTCAAATGTATAAGCAACGTAGTGTAGACTTTTAGGTGGCTATATTTTACTTTCATGAGTTCAGTGTTGCCACATTTAATTAGATATAACAATAGCCACTATCAAGCAGTTTGTTGTAGATCACACAATTATAGTAACCTAGAAACGCCGAAGAACTATTCACCTTGCGAAACTTTCAGGATAACCTGGTGTTTCTGTAAAAGGAAACGCTTACGGCCCACTTCCTAATGTGGAACCAGAACTTCTTTTGACCTGTGTTACATGTAGGACTGAATCGAAAAAGTTACCATGTTAAAAAATAAGTTACCAAATTACCCAATATGATAAATAAAGAAAAAATAATTAACAATTTCGGTAAACAAATTCCGATGCGGCAACACTGCATGTGTTACATATGTACTTACATACGTACGAGGACAAACAGCTGATTCCGTACGGAAGGTGCGATCAGTTCGCTCTTTCCTTAATTAAATGACGTTTGGCGAAACTTGACGAAACTTGATGTTAAGCACATTATAGTTTCAGAATAGGATTTATGTGTATTCGCACGTTTGCATACGCTTGCTTATTCATATTATAGTTAGCCCTTAGCACAACATTTAACGAATAGCGGGCTTACAGCAGACTTTGAAAACGCGAAAATATTAGATGTGGAGAACAGAGATAGAACGCGACTAACATTAGAAAGTTTGCGAATACAACAAAAAAATACAGAATGCAGTGAATTTTAAGGAAGACGTCGACAATATAAATTGCGCATACAGGACAGCAATAATGGTCAATAGGAGAACAGACGAGCAGAAGTACTCTTAAATATAAATAAGTTGATATCAGTGTGTATTTTTGTTATATTTTCTTTTTTTGATGTTCAATGTAAGTTATGTTTTGCGGCAAAAATTGTTACACCAACGTATTGTACTTGTTATAATTTTTATTTACAAACATGTGTGCCTAATTGTTTGTTTTTTATGTTTTGTTTTCAATAAACACCAGACTCCCTGAGGAATATGTAAAAAACATCGAAAGGCGTAGGAGGAAAAAGAAACATTGTTTGCTTTTTATTAAACCGGCCGAAAAGCTCCTTAAACTGCCCTATAGGAAATCGAAAGTTGACCCAAGAAACATAATAAAAAAATACTGTTTTCTGAAAATTCGGTGGCTAGCAAATTGATATTTTATTATGATTAACAATGGTGTGTAGATGTTTGTATTTCTTTTTATTTTGTTTGTAGATCAACAGATACGGAAATAAAGACATTTGAAAAAAAAATCCCTTTTTCTTAAATTTCGGGTGCTAACTAATTGATATTTTATCATGATTAGAAATGGTGTGTAGATTTTTGTAGTGCTTTTTATTTCGTTTGTAGTTCAACCAATACCGAA